ATGTTAGGAATTTGGAATTACTATAGATCACGAAATTTTACAGTGACTTTATTGATTTTACAGTGGATTTGTAAAAATTATAGCTTTGAGATCGGCGAAAAATATTTGTTCAACAAGAGCAATTTACTTTAAAGCATTTCTTGCACGTCCATGTGTGAAAAGCAAAAAAAAATTATTATAACGATTGTGATCACTGATCCGCGGAAAAAAATTTGTGACAAAGCATTGATGCTGATGGAAACAACATAAAGTAACTACTGAATTGTCGTCTAATTTTAAGATTAATAAATTTTTGCATCCTTTACAGAATTTCCGTCAGTTGAAGAGAGTACTGTGGAAAGACGCACAACTTTGAAATCATTTGATGAAGACTTCATTACAAAATCCATCACTGTTGATGTTACCAAGTCTTTTGCTAAAGATCGTGACCCGTCGAGTAGTACTTGAGCTTATTAGATTTAATAATTCTGATTAATAATGAAATCAAACCTCATCACTTTCAAAACATTTCTTAAAACTAAAATACATCAAGAATAAAAGCAACTTAAATCAAAACTAAATGAATTTAAAAAGTAACGCTAAAAATAGAACAGAAATACTTATCATTAATTTATTGCATTTTTATTGTTCACACTTTAAATACAAATTTTCTAGTATAAAAATTAATATATATTAGTACATCATTCATTTGAATTGAATTTGTATATTTGCAAATTATGAAACTTTTTTTAAAAATTATTTGAATGACAGTGCTTTGCATGAATAGAATATTTGTCAAAAAAGATTTGAAAATTCTTTAAATTTACTGTAAAATTTTGGATCTTAAATCTGGAGCTCATTATTTGTTTTACAGCAGATGAGTCAATGCACTCAATGGAACTCTCACCATCTACAAGTGAATCAGGACTGGAATTAAGTTTTCAAACACTACCAACTCCGGGGAATTTTAGCGCAACTCTAGAAGCACCCAAATTCATCGAAGATGAAAATGCTCCTGAAATTTCTGCTACTTTGACTAAAGTGAACTAAGCAATTTTGCCACCCTTCAACTCAAATACAAATTTGCTCGTAGAAAATTACCCGGTCATTAGAAAATTTAAATAGATTTGGTTGCAACTGGTGAAATAATTCGATTGCATTTAAAATCAAAATAGGTTTGTTTTATTTTCAGATTTTATCGGAAACCATACCTAAAAATGAATCGAAATCATTCTCAAACCCTGAACCTGAACCCAAATTTGAATCTGGATCTGAGCCCGAACCACAATCAAAACCAGATCCTGGGTCTGAATCTGAACCCGAGCACGACAGTGGCAATTTGTTTGTGGGCGACGAGACTTTATTCAGTGAGGAAAATGTAAACAAGGCTTCGGAAGATTTTATTGCAACGCATTCAAATACTTACTTTTCAACTCCAACTCAGGTCATGAATAAAGTCAAAATACTTGTTTTCAGAAACGAAATTTACAGTGAAAAAATAACAGGTCATCAATATAATGTCAATAATGATCATAGAGTTAAAAAAAAATCATCATTATATAAAAAAATAATATACGATAGCAAATCAGATCTATGCCACGCGGTAATAAATCTTTTTTTCTGCATTACTGATTCTGACACTTTTGCTGCACTTCGAAGCTGATCAGATGTGCTTTGTAGCATCTTCTTGAGCATCGTTGACTGGATATAAACCTCGGCATAATCAGATTCGCGTAACGCTCATAAAAGCTCATTGCTATCCCATTCCAAGTTATCACGTATTGTTCGTCCTTCATCTCATCTCTGACTAGAATTTATTAGCCACAGATCATATTTTCGCTTTTTCTCGGTCTCTCAGCCGCAATTAGCCGGCCCAGATTAGTGATGTCGACTTCCATTAGGAATACATCGCGTCATACACTAAAGTGATCGCCCTTATTCTGATAACTGTTTTTACTTGCGTGTCGACACATATTACGTTCTCATTAGCGGCAATTTGCTGAACAAATAATAATTTTCTTAATAAATCAATATTATATGGAGCTTATTTTTCTTTGCTTTATCATTGATTCTGGTGCTATATCGTATTCTGGCATTCTCGCTGCACTCGCCCCGCGCTAATTCTGCTATGCTGATTTATGCTGCTTCGTCCTCGTCGAATCCAGCGTCCTGATCGAAGGAGATGCTTTTTTTCTTGAGTACTATCGACTGGTTATATGCCCTACCATGATCAGACATACTGATTTCCTTTGCGTAACGATTGTGCTATTCCATCTTAAGTCATCACATATGGAATCATTTTGGTCCTGCATTTCATCTCTGCTCGAGTTTATTTGCCAGGAAATCATTGTTTCGCTTCTTCCTGGTTTCGACTGCTATCAACCTGCTTGACCAGTGATGCCAACCTCTATCAAGGGTACATCGTGTCGCTTCTTATCGTTTACCAGAATGTCCAGTCGATTCGTTCTTATTCTAATTGCAATTTGCGTGTCGACTCTGATTTTCAAGATCTAATTAGCGATTTTTTCCTGAACGCAGTGGCTCTGCATGCGTGGGAATGCTTTCAGACCATACTTTTTCAAAATCCTAAATAAATGCATTGTGTCTTCTTCTTTCTAGTAGTTCTTCATTTCCTTCCCTTGTTTAGTCTTCGCTGCTTCAAGGGGTTGCATGAGCATTGTCGTCATGGTCTGTCGCTCCTTTTCGCTTCTTGGAAGTTGCTTGTAATGTGGAAGGTCGTTCAGAGACTCGTTGCAGCTATTAGATAACTGATTTACTTGAATCCTGGAATGCTGTCTCGTACTGCTACCATTTTCACCGTTCTGGCGTCGTTGGCTGTCGATATCATTACAATTGTGGTCTCTCACTGGTTTGTTATGGCGATGTCATGATGCAACGATGAATGGCGGAAATACCAGTGGTCTCGCACTGGTATTTCCGCTATTCATCGTTGCATCATGACATCGCCATAACAAAGTGAAGTAAAGCAGAGAAAAGAATGGAAACCAAAAATTACGCGAAAATGTTGTGTTTCACCAAGATCAGGAAAAATCTTTCGTTCACAATTAATTTAAAGTTGGGAAATATAATCCTAAAATAATTAGTAATACTAATAATTATTATAACTAATATTTCCTTTTTTTGATAAAAGTAGCATTTCAGGCAACTACTGAAGAAAATCTTGGTGTGCCAGGATTTCCAAGGATCGAAGAACCAGGTCCTCAAGCTACCCAAGAACCGGTATAACCGAATTTATGCATTGTTTGAACTTGAACGTGGTCTTAGTGAACAGTAAGAGTGTATTCGAGATTTGATTTGACTGTCAATAATGAGTTTTTTTTCCAGCAATAATAAATGTCTAAAAAAAATCAAGCTATGCTTGGATAAAGTTAATGCAACCTGTTTGTTTATAGAGAACTGGTACTGAATCGTCTCGTGGCACTAGTACATATTCATCGTCTGATTTTGAATCTAAAGTAAGCTAATAAGAATTTTCGAACTGTTTCCATGGGATCAAATTAATTTTAAACACAACTTTAAAGTTCACAGTTCATAGGAAAATGAATCAAAAAATGTAGATCAATAGCGATAAAAAGTAACATCGATTAAATTATTTATTTTCCTGTTTTGTATGCTTTCATAGTTTATGATAACTAGATGAAAGTCGGAAAATCAAAATTTAATAAATAAAGAAAATCGAAAATTGATGTTACATAGAATATTTTTTTTACTAAAGGTGGAAAAAGGCATGCGAGGTGACTTTCATGGAAATGAGAAGCAACAGAGTAACGGCAAGTTTTGTCTATGTCTGAAATTATTTTTTTTCACGATTAGTAAATTGGTTAGCTTTTCGCGAATACAATCACTTTCACAAAATACTTGGAATGATTTTTTTGCCAATGATTCCAACAGAAAAGTCATATTTTATAATTGATTTGTGTGTAAGTAGATTTTTTAATGCATAACCATAAATAAAAATGTAATAATTTTCTTATTATTTGACGGGAAATTCTCTACGTGACTAAATTTTAGCTGAGACAACTCATACTATGAAAAATCGTCTCGAAGATGGTATTGAACTAAGCGATATCACATTTATTGATAATAGAGTCCATATTCATTCACGTTTTTCAAAGACTGTTATTAATATTTCGAATAATTAATTTGTCTGATTCAGTTAGTTATGAAGTTCTAAGTGATTACTTACATGTGCAATTCTTTTAAGGAGACAAAAAAGAAACTGAACCAGAATCGGAGCCTCAACCGAAGTCAGAACTAAAATCAACAGTTGAACCTGAACCGACGGTTGAACCCGGAACAAAAACTGAGCTTGGATTAACTCTGGAATCCTTACCATTTCCCCATAGCGGAAAATTTGAATTTGATTCTTTCGAATCTACTACTGATGCAAGCTTACGATCGAAGTTTGGGCCAGAACCCAATGGTAATTTTGAAGGAGCTAAACTTTGCTTAACTTTAACATACAGTGAAAAATTATTTATGTTGATCAGTCACAGTTTCAGCATTGCAGAAATTGATAAAAATTTTAACCAAAAGTGATGTTTATATGACAAAAATTTTGAATTTAAGCATTTTTTTATAATCAATACATTCAAGTTACATTTCACTGCTGGTCATAATTTTTTCTATCTTCGATGAGAAATTGGCTACACTTGGAAAATTTATCTTCTTCCGTTCATATCTATAAATTCCGATGAAAATTTATTTCTAAATTTATTCAGTAATTGATTTAAAATCTAAATATTCACGTCTTTTGCTCGATGAATACGATGAATTACGAGTAGCAACTGAATTAAGCTAGGTGAATAGTTACCATCTGTGAAGTTGATCACAGTGTCATAAATCTCCATGCTTATCTAACTAGCGAGTATCGATTTACGATCAATTTCCTGCTTGTCACTACCGCCAATTCTGAGTAATAACAAGATTCAAAGTGAACTAAACGAATTGTGGCTTAAGTCCGAATATTTTTTTGGGAGAAGTTTACTTTAGCTGTTTAAATGTTGCAGTTATTTCTTGACTGGACCGGTGTGTATAGTTAGTAAATAACTCGAAGAATTTTACAAAATTTGCATAGTAAAGTTTGTACAATACAGGCCGTGATATTTTTGTAGTGTACAGACTACTTCAGCATTCTTTTTTCGAAAAAGTGAAATTTTTCACGCTGTCACTGCCTGCAACAGATATCGTCGTTTCATTAGTTTTACACAAAAGGCCAATGTAAGATTGCTTTAAGTAAGATTTCATGCCAAAGGTCACTTGTACTGATTTCATCTGCTGATGAGAAATGTCGGATCATTCTTGTTTATTGAAACTAATTATTATACACTTTCCCCAAATCTTCCAACTCATTTATGTTATTTGAAATTTTGTTCTGAAATAAAATAAATCCAAATAATATTAGTAAATTTAACAATATAACATTACATTCATGGTAATTAAATTTCTACCTATTATTTTATATAAAACATTTGCTACTCTGCGATTTTTCAGTCAGAGAAGCTTACAAAGTGCCATTTTCATTTCGAATTACTGAAATTGACTACACTCCTGAATTCGGGGATTCACAAAGCGGAAAATACAGAAAATTACGCGATCAACTTGTACCTGATGTTAGTTTGCCTTTTATTGATTCTGCGTAAAGTTTTTCTAGTAGCAAATATTTGCAAACTGATTCAACTTGTTTCTAGCTACCGAAATTATCAATTTTCATAAACTTTTCAAATTTATTTAAGTAAAGGAAAATCATGACATTTCTTAAGGTGGAAGTTATTTGCTAACATGAAAGAAAAAGTAAAATGAGTGTTGGAAGTGAACAAATTTGCGAACTTTTCTTATTATTTCTGCATAATAAAGCCATTTGTCAGTGTAGTTGTTCAAATCGGATTTGATTGACCAAAGGATTTCATAAAAATTAAATTTGTATAAAATTATAGTTAGAAGAAATATTTGGGTCGTTGTTTGGACACGCATATGAAGGCTTACACTTTGTGAACTTCTTGAAAGGTAGTGTAATAGTTGAAGGTGTCATTTATACATCAACTAAATCTGAAGATATGCAGCAGTTAGCTACAGAATTCGAGCAACAAGTTACCGCTAGGAACTCACAAATTGGTGGTAATGATGTAGATCCGCGGTCCATTACTCTTGATGGTAAACTTTGCACCAATTATGCAGCGAATTTAATAAAATTGAGTAACATTTCTCGTTTTCAGCATGCTAAAATAATCTCAGTTTTGCAGTAATTATATAAAATATTAATTATGAAGTATTAATTATTTGGAGTAGAGTAGTGATTACATCATTAGCTATAATACTGAGTTGCCATTAGAATATAAGTTATATTAATATCAAGTACATACAATAATATAATATTTCGCATGCTAAATTTCAAGTTTTTAGCACAAACCTAAATTGATTGTACATTTAGTATGGTGAAATGTGGTTTTAAATTACTTTTAAAGTGGCTATTAATCAGTAACCGAAATAGTAATATGAATCATGATCAGTCACTAATAACAAAATTAATTATTTGAGGATATGTATCGAAAAACTATATTGAAAGGGTGCATGAAGGCTACAGATCGAGCAGTACTTCGTCGTATATTGTTGGTGGTGGAATAGCTATTGGAATATTAGCTATATTAGTGATATCATTCGCTGTTATTGCGGTTAGTTGAACAGCCATTGTTTTTTAAATAAATATTTTTAAGAAAATAATTCTTATATTTACTGGAAGAGATGGTGTTTTGCTGATAAGAATATATGCCAGTTACTGAGCACTTATTTTCTCATTAACAGAGCAAATTTTACTTCGTCAAACTCCCGCCTTTTCAAGCTGTAAACATCACTCTCTCTATTATTTGCATTAGTAATTGCAAAGAAAGTGCTGATTTTGTTTGTTCTGCTGCACATTGACTTTTGCAGATAATTAATGGCCAAAAAAGTTAAATGCACATTTCCGAATGTATTGATCCATTTGAAAGCCGTTCCGCTCGCTTGAATATAGATAGTTCATTCAGAAGTGAATGATTATGAGTGCAAGCTGTAGTGAAATATGGAGAATAAAAATGGCAGTTAATTACTATCAAAAAATGATATGATTAGGACCAGATTTCAAACTTGAAGATTAAATAATTATAGATGAATAATAAGCGAACTAATGGATCGCTGAAGTTAAAGGAAGAAAATATGGCAATGACTGAGGGTGGTCGATCTCCGTGGCAGAGCAGTACACCGTCGGTGAATTTGTAAGTTTTTAATCTGAAATCAGTGTTCATCATTCAGATTATTATGTAAGAAAATGAAAAATGGAAATGGATAGAAATATAATGATAATTTTCAACGTGACATTTTATGTATGCTAAATGAATAGGCAAAAAACTGCCTAAAAAATACCAAAGGAAAACGAAACTGAACTTGGTTATGCTTTTGCTGACATGACCTTTTATCTCATTTACATGTTTGGGATGTTTATATACGGTGATTGCAGAATGAGTTATGGTAGCGGACATGGAATGCAGGGAAATAATTCAAGCAACTCCCAACCACCTATGGTAATGATGGGTTCACAAATGAGTGCCATGCAAATGCATGCAGCTGCAGCTCGACTTACTCAGCCTCGACCTTAGGCTATTTATTATTAATATTATTTACATCGTAATTTCAGTTACTACTTTATTATTCTTATTTATTATTATTATTATTATTATTATCTTTTTTTTTTAATTTACTTTACTACTGAACTCTTTTTGAAGCTTTTAGTTTGATTTGGTCTGTTGTATTTTGTTAACTTTTGATTTTCGCTTTTCATTTATTCAGCATTGCCTGTTTTTGCTCATTTTTGCTGTGTTCTGTGCATGCACGAATAGGCTTTTCAACCCACGAAAATGGTGGTTGCATCGATTTAAGAAATTACAACTTTTCAACATAATGTACAATATAATACGATAAATGTAGCAATTTAAATAATGATACGCTAATCCATTTGAAACGGCAGAATACATTTGTCCGAGTAAGTACTGCGGTGACTTTTTCATAAATCAGATCATTTCAAGTTTTTTACTGAAATGTGATGCATTAAAATAGTAGCGGAGACTGTACTTTCTCTTGGGTCAGCGAAGTGCTCCATTTGCGAGGAATTTCAAGATGACCATATGCGTTGTCACAATTTTATTTTTTCAGATCAAAAATTGATAATTTCTGATGTTGAGACAGTTGTTAGTTTGTATTGTACTCATGACAATTTTGATGGGTTCCAAGCACTGTAAGGATGTTAGGAATTGATACTCTATCTTATGACTAACTGCTGTCAGTTTCTAAAAGCTAAAATCTAATTTTGTTATGTATTGATCTTTAAATAAGCATTTCCTCTACTTTGAGGAAATGATTGCTGATCGATAGATAGATAGAAGTTGAGATCTGATAAAAATTTGTACACTCTTAAACTGAATGTTTACTTCATTTTACAGTTCAAACCAAATAAATTACCAAATTGAGCAAAAGGCGATTTTTGTAGAAAGTTATTTATTTTATAAACAAACTGTTTCGTCATGCACTAAGCGTATGGATGCAAATTCATTGCACATGCGAAATATATGTCAACTTTCGACAAAATTTGACTAAAAAAATTCGTTTGTGGGTTGAACCCAAGTTGACTTTAAAAATCATGCTATAAGCATAGCATGACCTCTCAATGACAACTTCTCGCAAATTTTTTTGAGGCTAAGTGTTATTTAGTACCAAATCATGGGCGTGCCTATAGGTGTCTGCGCTTTTTTTGCTTACAAATTCATTTTTATTTATTCACTTACTGTACCTATATCATATTTGCCATTTTTATTTCATTCCACTTCAAGTGTCAATATTGCGTGACCTTTCAGATTGTCAATTAATTTCACGGCTTGCTGTTTCCCAAACTTTACAATTTCTTCTTCCAATTGCTTCCTGCATTTGCATAGCACTGTTAATGTGTCGTTTTGTGATGAAAATTTAATAAAAATGAAATTTCTAATCAAATCTAACTTCTCATTCGAAAAAATAATTAGTGTATGAGTGAATGTACTAAGAAAAACATACACGAATATTTTGAATTGAATCTTATGGAAGCAGCAGTGGATGGCTTCAGGTGATGAAACTTATATCTTCAGGTGACGAAACTTACAATAAACGAAGGGAATGATCGGTAAGCAGAGGAATAGAAATCGAGAATCCTGACTTTGCCTTCTCAATTTGGCTTCTTGAATACTGTCATCATTGTATCCTTTCAAATGACTTCAAATTTTCCAAAAAATTGTTTAAAAATAAAGGAGAATCGTTACTTACCAACGTTTACCGTTTCATTAACATTGAGAAGACTAAAAATAGTTTGCCCCTTGTAAAAAAACAAACTTTTTCGGCCCAAATTCTAAACTTTACTACAGTACGTACTGAACTGATTTTCAGTCTCTTTCACTCCAAAACAGGCATTCCGGTTTTGTCAAGAAGTGCTCTACGTTCTGACAAGAGATTTACTTCTTTTCAATTTTTCAACCATATATTCGAGCAGGATTGTCATGAAGACTATGTTTCCATTGTAATAAGAATTTATGTATCTCAAAGAAACAAAGTTTGCTTTCCTTGTTTCCAGTCATTTTCTTAATAGTAGTTTCAAAAAGAATGTCCTTCATTATTGCAAATAACGAAATTAAAGTTTGCTTCCATATAGCAAAATTTATGATTACAATCGTCTCGAAAATAGCAATAAACCTCTGAATACTCAAATTCCCCACTACTTTTACAAATATCTATGCTTATTCTTACTTATTTTCAAGTTTAATACGTGCAAATGAATCCAAACTCATACTTCTGTAAGTTCTTTTGGCTTAAGAAAGTGTCTGAAGAAAGTTGATGGATGACGAACGATGATTCTTTGACCTTTCTCAAATAAATGGGAACAGAACGCTATGGCGACTAAAAAATGTATTATGGCTTTCCTGCACATTCCTTCATTTCTTAGGTCAAATCTCCCAATACTGAAATGTCTGACTTATACTAATTAGTAATTTCAATGAATGAGACCGAATTGAAGAATATAAACAAATGGTTTTTGCTTATCATTTTAAATTTGTAGTAAAGCAAATCAAAATAACATGGTATCATTAAACAAGAATATGACCACAAATCAAATTCTCAAAACTTCAGTTACAAATAAGAAATATTCCAGAAATATTCATAAGAAACAACAACATTCAAAATGAGAAAAAATAAGGGTAAAAAAGACAAGTCATCAAATTAAAAATTTTATAGCTTGAAAAATGAATATGCAGTAGTGATACGCACAGTGTTTGGAATTCTTAACAAATACAAATATGTAAGTGGGAGAAAACTACACAATAAGTTAAGAATAAATGACTTAAGTACAATTGTTTCTGGTCAACAGCATTATAGTTATCCAATTTGTAAACACTTACAAACAAGAGTAAAGTCTTTCAGAATATTCACGGGGAAATTATGCAAAAAAATTTTCTGGGGATATTAACGAAATGAAAGTTAAGAACATGATTATTATTATAAACAAATATTACACAAATACTTGAATGGCAAGAACTATTCTATATAAAACTGAGAAACAATAAGTTATCCAAAATATACGCAAAACCATACATCACTAACTCATCTATCATTATTCTCACAAAATTCTATTTTTTCTGTCTAATCAACTCTACATCTTTGGCAACTAATATTTGTGCAGCGACAAAAAGATGAAGCAAGCTAATCATTGATTTCAGTAAAGCAATGGGAAAACAAAGAGCTGATAGCAATGGAATGAAATGAAAACCGTATATACCTGGACCAGACCAAAAATGATTGATATACATGAAACTATAGAATGCTTCATTACCCAAACACATTACAAATAAAAATGGACGGGAAGTGTAGTACAGATGCAAAATTGGATTTGATGACTGCTGCAAACAGAGATTGCATTTACTAAATTTTTTTAAATGCACTTTTTTGACTCGTATGATATTAGCAAAAATATTTTATGTGAGCCTGACCATTTGAATTTTCAACTTGATGATAGACTAAAAAGTTTTTTTGCTGATTATTTTCAAAACCATTTCTTATTTGAAGACCGTCTCACAGTATCATTTCACGTCATCTTTGTTAAAGCACTTCTTTCTAAATTATAAATACAGATTTAAATATCCAATTTTATATTTCCATTTGAAAAAAGACTTACTTTATGTGTTGTTTTGCCAGTAACATCGCCAGCATGAAAATAAAACCAATGAGAAGCAATATCAATTACTGCTGACATTTGAAAAAAAAATAAGTAATTTGAATAAAAATTCCCACAGCACATTACTAGTGCCATAAGAGCGCAACGATCCGTTAACATATCTAGCATAGCACCAAATCTGGACGCTGAACATGAGAAGATTTGTGAATTATCAATTTGAAGTATCAAATGTATCAATACTAATCAAAACGAATAATGAAGCTACCAGATATAACTATTAGTTGTAACAGGCACATAAGTCGAAATTCTTAACAATGCTCCTAGAAAATTCGTCAGACATGCTCAATCGAAATTTTCGGAAAGAAAGTATAAATATACATTGATTATGAATCCGTGCAACATAGCCATCTATAGCATCGGATGCGGCGCTAAACACATAACAGATTGCTGCACGCCATGGAGCATAAGTCATCGCTTCAAAAGATAGTAATGCTAAAATAATGCGCATATAGCCAATCATATTTGAATAAAATAGCCATACGTTTGTTTTCTGCAACTGTAACATCTGAAACATAACACATTTAATTTATGCCTGTAATGAAATTATTTTTAGAACACCATATGAGAATAACTAAAAGTTAGGTACTCGCAAACTATTCGCTTTCCAATTTTTACTTTCTATTGCTCAGAAGTGAAGGTCAAAATAAATTAATAGCACTAATTAAAAAAAGCTTATTTAGAAATAGAATTATGAAAACATTTAGTGGAACAATAAAATTAATTTCAAATGATCCATTACTTTAACAGAAATCTTTATGAGCATTTGACTTGCAAGGGGATTGCTATTGTTATTTCAATGTTCTTTAAACAGAGTGATAGAGCTTGTTACTTTAATTATTACAAACTTCAAATTTCTTAAACGCAAAATTTCAGAACCAGAATTGACCCAGGAATTAGGAACCATTTAGAATATCATTATTTACGGAAAATTTAGTAGAAACCCCCCCACCCCAGGTGAAGATGCTTTTAAACAACGAAGCGTTATTAGAAATATAATAAAAACAAGTGTAGCAATAAATGCAGTAAGCCAATTGGGCAAAAAATCAATGTGAAAATGCATTTATGCAAAAATCAATTCATTTACTCGAAGGCAAACTACGCGTCTAAATTTCCAAACGATATTTACGACTAGGTGAATGAATACTCACGTTGCTCTTAATATTCAAAAGTAACATTTAGAGACTAACACATCCATAAAGTGTACTGAGATGCTTGGAACACTAGCATCGAGGTGGGCATTTATTTATCTATCAAAATGAGCAGCAAAAGATAGTAAGCAATGAATACAATTACAAGCATTAAATTTAAGCATCACCCTCAGTATAATATTTGAAATCCAGCACTTCCATTAGCTACAGAATTCAAAAATCTAAATTTCTGGCAACAAAGCTAGTCAGTGAATAAATGCAATACTCTTCGAAAGTAACTTGTGACAAAACAAATTAAGAAGGACTTACTTTAGTGTTTTCGCCATTCATAATCCTTCATTTGTAACAACTCAACACCGAATTCTAAAATCCATAATTATGCAAAATACCTGCTCCACAGCGATCAATAAGGAGTACATAAAAGCGAACGCAATGAATTACAAAAACAATCATCGTACTCGCAAACTACTGGCTTTCCAATTTTCGCTTCCTAATGCTCATAATTTATTTGTAAGTAATTAATTATAAATCCGCGACCTATCCGAATTTGGTTTGCAATTTGTAAAAACGGTTGGAATTGCGAACAGCGTTAAATGAGGTGAATTTGTAGATATTTGAGCATACGAAAAGATAGGAAGAACTGCGTGGAGTACACACACAACAGTCATTTTCCGTTCTAGCAAAAACATTGCCATTAAATGATAGACATTAGAAAAAGCTACAGTTTCTGAGAGAGTATGGAACGAGAGATTGAGAGAATTCACAAAGGATTTCATAATGTAAGATATACAGTGGAAGTGTGAAGTGAAAATCAATTAGAAGAGTTGTCGGAGTGAGGTGGGGTGTGTAGACGTTTATTTTTGCTACTTTCATGCATAATTCCGGAATTGATACATTTGATGCGGATTTAGGGTTGAATCACTCTTGTTGTTTAGAAATTAAGTAGAGGCTGACGGAAGACCACTGTTTAAGTACGCTATACGGTTTAGTTGCAGGTATCTTTTGCTCACTTTTGGTTTCCTTATAGCGCTATAGTAATATTGCTATCTTTTTAATATGTAATTGCTGGAACTAAATGTAGACCGATCCATTACGGAAATCTTTTCTTCCATCTTTTCCGTACTTCATTGTTTTCGTATTGATACTACCAACAAAGTGGTATCAGTACGGTAAGTACCAGTGGTCAGTGTGAAGAAAAGACAGGTATGGTTAATTGCTACTCATCTAGTTTCCATTGTTTTCAGAATTTAAAATCATTACATTCCATCTTCCTGATTCCGTAACTAACAAAGTGAACACGCGATAACTGCCATTGCAGCTTTACTCTAGGTTTTCTGTACATACACATATGTCATGGTTCTTTGCTCACCTTTTCTTGGTTACTGAACTGCTGAGTGCTTCTTAATTTCACGTAACTGACATGTAAATATGTACAACGGTTGCTCGAATTATTTGACTTTACTGAACTGTTTAAAATGACGGAACGGAATTATTAATCAAATACTGTAGTAACTGTGAGTGGTCTGTTGCGTTCCAGAGAGCAAAAGTTGAGACCAAGTAGTTGCATCGGGGGCATGACCAACGCGGATTTAGACTCCCTGTCCTATACATAGCGTTCATTACTGAGATATGCACTCCATTTGTGTTTTGGTCTTTCTTGCAATTTGCATTTGCTCACTCGTGGTGTTTACCACTTGTATGTATATACTTGTCTCATCTAAGCTTTTTTACTAGTTTTATGATTCACATTTCCTGAACAAACTCAATTGATTATGCGAACGCGTTGCGCGAGCTGACGCGTCGCGGTCCTCTTCAGTTAAGGGGTTGATGTTCGACGCTCTTTTGCATGTCTGCTATCAAGGCTGACCACTTATTCGTTCGAGATGAGACGGCTTTTTTTCAGTCAAATATTTCCGGATACTTTGTTCTGTACTGCATAGGGTTTCAGATCGTTGTGAGCTATCCTTGAATTGAAGTAAACTCAGTTTGTTGAAAAAGTAGTCACGATGGCCGCAGCAGCAACAGGAGCAGAATTTCATTACGGCGCTGCAGCAGGTGCTGCTGCTGGTTTCAATGGCGCGGTATGTTTGTGCTACTTAACCTCTGTTATTTGAAAGTGCAAAATTATGAGATTCTTAGCAAAATGAAGAGCATAAAGTTGTTATACAAATTGTTTAATTATATCAAACACTCTGAATCTGTGTTTGTAACTGATTATTTAGCTTATTATTATAGGGTTTTTATTTAATACATTCTATTCTTTCTGTATTTCAATATGTTTCTTGTCTGCTTTTTTCATTGATAATGTGGAAGAGTGTTGGTACACATTTTAATAACTGATTGCAGGGTGGACCGCCGGCTGGTTTTCCCGCTTATGCAGGAGCACCAGGAGGCTATGGTGGTTATGGTGCACCAGGTTACGGTGGTTATGGAGGTTATGGTTATATGGATACTCAAAGCCCACTGGACGCAGAGATCCAGGTTCGTCAACTTATTTGCGATAAATATTGAAAGCCAAAAGTGCAAATTGTTTGCTCGATTTGATACAGAACATGTGTCTTTGGGCGCCCACATTTCAATTTTGTGACCAAAAGGTTCAACTTTATAGGCAATGGCTAAACAATTCAAATGCCACATTTATGTACTTGTCATGGTTTTAGTATGAATGACCATCAGATGTAGCTTTATATCTGAGTAAAATCAAATGCAACTTTCCCTCATCAAGAATATGGACGATATTTTATACGCTTATTGAATTCATAGGTAGTAATTCGGGAGATCCATAATGAACAGCAATTGATGGAACAAGGTGGAGAATGGGGCGAGCAGTTTAAAAATGCTAAGCGTTTGTTAGCTGCTGAAGCAGATAAGTTAGAAAATTCTATTGATCCAGAGTGGCTCGAAGTTGATATTGCGAAACCAATTAAAGTTTCTAAAAAGGTTGGCTGTTTTGTATTTTGATTTGACTTCTCTTTACATTGGTGAGGTTCGTTATTCCGCCAAATGTTTCTGTGTTCGGGTATTTCATTTAAAGTAATAGATATTGAATTTTTTAAATAACTTTATTCTTTTAGGTGCTGATACCAAACTTCAGGCACCCACATTTCAATTTTGTGGGCAAAATTTTGGGACCAAAAGGTTCAACTTTACAGGCAATGGCTAAACAATTCAAATGCCACATTTACGTACTTGGTCGTGGTTCTACCAAAGATCGAGCAAAGGCATGCAATACTGAGATTCATTTTAATTTCAGAACACCGTTAGTAAGGATAAATATGTAATCGTATTATTTAGGAACAAGAATTGTTGCAAAGTGGTGATCCTCAGTATGCCCATTATGGTGGACCACTTCACGTAAAGGTTGAGACAATAGCTCCAGCACATGTCGCATATCAGCGAATAGCAGGTGTATTGGAACAGCTGTCTACGACATTGCAGCCTGCAAGTTTTCGGCTTTGATTTAGTATTTTATATATTCATATGGTTTTCTGGAGTTGATTTTGATAGTTGAAAGTAGTTGGATTGATAATTTTTTGTTGTTGTTATTCGGAATGAGGAATAATTAGCTTTCTATACTTCTTTTAAAGGGAAAAAGATTTATTGAAATAATGTTTTGGTCAGTGTACGTAGTT